TTCAGAAAATAACTCACTTTCTTTCATTTTAGTCATGTACACATCCATAGCAAAAATCCAGTTGAATCTTACTTTTTAATACAAGTACCTAGCTAAATTGCACTTCAAGTAGCTTAAAACATTGGGAGTCTTGAAGAGATGCACAACCAATATGAAGGCCAGAAGCTGCATTCCTATTCATCCCAAAATAAGCTATAATAACTGGACTTTTACAAAAGAAGGAACAAACTTTTTATGTCACCTTTTAATGATCATTGGTTTGCACAGTTGAATATTTCTGGGGTGTTTTGCAGTCTGGAAGTGATTGGCTCTTCCAAGGTCTTATTGTTAAGCAACAGCTTTTGAAGTTCTCAAAAACCATTTCAAATTTTATCTGAAATTATGATAAAAGAATTAAGAATTTTATTTTTTATTGCAAATAAATTTTTAGAACATAAAGGTTCTAAATGTAGAACACATAGCCTGTGTTTTTAACATCTCTTCATGTTAATGAAATTTTGGTTATCTATCCCTCTTTGTGAAATCTGTCAATGCTTTAACTAAACTAATTAATGTGCAACAAATAAAGTTGCAAGCTTCAAAAATACTAAATATTTTACAAATCCTTCTTTAAGGTCTGTAACTCAGTGGACAAATTGTCATCCCAATCTAGTACTTGCATAATCTCAGTAATTGTTACTTGATGTTTCTGAAAAACCTAGTGAAAGATCAAGGTGGTAACACTGAGCTGTGTCTGTGATGCTGCAGTGGCATGTAGAATGTACACATGGTTGACAATTCCATTGTCAGGTGACTTACTTACATGAATCAAATGAAGGAGTGGGATAATGGAATATGTGGGTCATTTTCCACAGCAAAAAACTTCATTAGTTTATAGATCTTGCCTTATCAAGTCTTTAGCCAGCGTTCTTAAAACAAAACAAAACAAAAAACACACTCCAACAAGCTCCCCCAAAAAATTAACCCAAAACTAAAAAAACCTCGGCCTTTTCACCGTAGTCACTTAAAAAGGCACTGAAAGGTACCATTTTCTTATGTAAACTAAGAAAGTATGAAAGGATTATTTGCTGGTTGACTAAACGAAAAAACTTTCTCAGCATGAATGCACATAAGCAAATATAATCCAGAACCAAATGCCAATGTTGCACTTCCATTTTTTTTCGGATACTTGTCATTTCCCAAAGGCTGAATTTCAGAAACCAGTATGTTGAGCAGAAATTAGTAGTTTGCATGGGTCCTTCTGAATTCTGACTGTTCCATTTCAGCAGGAACATATGACTGCTTTTGTTAGTAGCAAAAGGGTAATTTTTATTTGCTCTGTGTCAAAGAAGTTTCTTAAAGGTGTGGTGTTTATAAATCAGCTATGCATAAAGAGGTTTCTCTATCAATGCAGAATTGAACTTTTGGCCTTTTACTGACTTGTGCTGTTTACTGAGTTTTCTCCAGCAACCTCTATAACAATTGGTATTCTTTGATCTGTAATTTCACTGCACAGATGCTTCTTTCTCAGTGAAGTTTTACTTAACTAATTCTCTTCAACTGGAAGCTGAAGATGTGAGTAATTTTGATCAGTTATACTTACAGGTTTGATTTTAGATCCTTTGCACCTACTCCGTGGCCTTCTGATTATATTTCCTCTAAAAGGATCACTTTTTATAGTTATCCATTCTAACTCATGTTCCTTTGAATTCAGTTCCTAACTACTTCCTTTTGAGCTGTACTTGAAAGGGCCTTAAGGTTCAAGCCTTTTTTTTTTTACATTTTTTTGTATTCATTCATCTCTCACTAGAATTTCACTCCTCTCAATATAGGTCTTGGCTATGATTCTGTAAGTCTGGGAATACAGTTACTAGAACATCCTCTTATTTCTGTAAAAAATAAGTATTTTAACTTTTTAACATTAAATACCTAAAGGATATTGCTTTCATTTAGAGAATAATGCCATGTACTTTGAATTTGGTTTTATAGTTGTATTTATTTAGTTATATCATTAGAAGGTACGTTCATAGTCACATTTCTTAAGAATACTTAAGGGTTCCAAATTCCCATCAAACTACTACAGATCTACATATAGTAAATTGAAAAAAAAGGATAATATAGTTTTTCTTCCGTATTTTTTAGTAATACCGATCATTTTCTTTTTTCTTGGTCCTGCTGTTTAACTGCTGGAAACAGATCAGTAAATTCCAGTTGGCTGATCTTTTTCACCTTTCTTACTAAGACCAAGATAATTGAAAGTGTCTGCTTTTATTCCACTATGTAATAAAGGGAATTGAAGATATTCTGGAACTTGTTGAAAGGTATTTTTTTTAAAGGATAAAGTATTTACCACAAGAACTGCTATACTTCTGCTTTTGACGCTGTATGAGAAGAAAAAACCATTAAGATTGCATTTTCAAATAGCAAAAAGTGTATATTTGGTTTGGTTTTAGCTTTAGCTCTATTTATTTAATTATATCAGTTTGTCTTTAATTCTACCTGCCTGGATTTCCAGCCTGCTTGAAAAACTTGGTCTTTCTTTCAAATTTCTGTTTTCTTAGGGAAGAAATTCCCTGTCTTTTCAAAAAAATTATGCTTAAAGCGAGGAAATACTAAAGCTGGGTTATAATCAGCTGTCATTTAAATATTATTATCATTCTTTCCCTGATATTACCCTTGGCACTTCTGATTGATTTAATGTCAGACTCATACTAAAGCAAATTTTGTGCATCTTGCATTGATAATGCTCTTTCAAATATTACAGGCATGGTCTTCTCTTAAGTGAAGTCTGGAAGCTCTGCCTTCTGCCCACTTATTTACGTCTTCATAATAGATTGCCACCTTCAAAAATATAAAGGGGCCTTGGTGTTGAAAGTATTTCATTTTACTAATGAAAAATATGAATAGAATCTGGAATCACACTCTTTGATTCTGGAAATTCAGCTCCCAGAGAGTGACAGAAGGCCTGGCTATACAGACATGCTATTCCAGTCTTTTAAAGAAAAGATATGAAAATAGAAGGTGGATTTTGTTGAGGTATTTTTGTGAGATCTTCAAAGCAGCAGTTTTAATAAATTTGTTTTCAGTGTTCTTTGCCAGAATATTTGTGAAGGTTATAGATTTCTGTAGATAAAAAACTAGAATTTTAAATCATTACTCTTCTCTTCTGTCTTCATACATGAAAAGCACTTTACAATGAAGATTTTGGGGGTTGGGTGGGTTTGGGTTTTTTTGGTTGGTTGGTTGTTTTTGGTTTTTTTTGTTTTTCTTTTAATAAAGGTGGAGTTTGGAAAATTATGACCAGATTGAAGTTTGCTTATGTTGTTGGGTTTTTTGGTATCTTGCTCAGGTTATTTTCCCTTTAACATTAAAATAATGTTACCAATTTGACATTTTTAACCTCATTGTGCTTTCAAATCCTGATAAGGGTTTGAAACTAAGTATCATTAGTTAACTGTAGAAGTATCTAATAGTTACCTTTGACATCCAGAGTTTCTGAAAAAGTTTACAAAATATTTAAACATTTTTTAAAATTGAAAGTACTTTAAAATATTGTAGCAATTAGAATGTGCCTATGTTCTGTTGAGCACTTCTTGCAGAGCTACTGAGATATTGTAGGTATATTTTTAGGTTTGCTCAGAATTCAAGTCTCAGAACAAAAGAATCCTTCTGCTATTGAAATACAGCAGTTAATTCAAGAATATTTAGTAATGAGCTATAGTTATCCCAGACAGTTTCTTTGATCTTATTTTGATAGAAGATAAATGCATTACCTGTTTTACACATTTTTATTGAGTTCTTTCACCTTAGCTGGAGGTTCTCTGTTGGAAAGACTTTGACTACCTAGTTCTAGGTTATTTGCCTTACAGAACGCCCAGTAAACCATCTTGAGAGAAGGAAATTAAAATTTATGTAAGTGGATGACAAAAACAATGATACTGGATAAATCAGTAAACAAGGATAGGCATGATAATAGTTCAGCCTTATAATGATAATAGTTTCAGAGTGAAGAAAAGGAGGTAAACTTCAAATGCCTAAGAACCTGCAGAGGCTATTTCTATCTATTCAATATAAAGTGAGTGGTATAAATAACTTTTATGTGTTCATTCCTTAGAGGGAAGAGGTAAGAGAAATGCTGATTTTATAGTGTTGTTCCCTACATATAAATTTCTCAAGTTTTCTGTTATTTTAACAAAGATCTTTATTACTTTTTGCCTTTTTTCCCCTCCATCATTTTCTTTCAAGAAACTTATTTAAAATTGATTAAAGGATTGTCTTTTTTTCAAGTAACTTCAGATAAGTTCTTACTAGAGTTCTATTTTTTTGAATTGAAGAGGAGTTTCTCAATGAAAAATATTGGTCATCTAATGAAAACTGTGGAATTAACATACTCAGCTTGGACCTAGTAATATAAATCAAAATTCAATTCAGATTTTGAAAATTGTTACCCATTTTCTTTTCCTGGATTTTAAATGCCCAGTAGGAGATACCTCAGTGTCCACTACTACACAACCCAAAGCACAGAATAAAATCTTTCAATGAGAAAGATCTGACAGAAAGAAACTCTGAAACTGTCAGATACCTAGACTGAGCCAGGAACTTCAGGCAAGAGATAGTTATGTCAAAACTTCTAAAAGCTTGGCATCTCAACATAAGTATGCAAAATAACCAGAATGTAAACTGTAGCAGATATTTCTCTACTGTTTTTTTGCCACACAAATCTATGATATCATTTCCATTCTCTGTAAAATACAGAGATACGCATTCAGGCAAACCATTGCTAAAAAATTTGGCAGGTGTTTCAGATTTGTATGTGATAAAGCAGAAATCCAGAGTTTCATAGGATGTTGGTCCACATTTTGATATAGAAAGAAAAATGTAAATATGAAGCAACATTTATAGTTATTAATAAAGGATTTAATCAGACATTTTTTCTTAATAGTGTCGATTTGTGGTCATATATTTCAATGTGTTTTTATTTTCCGAAGTAATTTGTACTGTATTTTATTTATGTATTTTAGGCACGGAAGGGGCAGTGTTTGGGCACTCTGTGGAGACACCCCATATCAGAGCAGAACCTTCCCAAGACCTCAAGTAGGTGTGGTTCAAAAAGTTGTTTTAAAATCAAGTATTCTCCAAAAAAAAAAAGTCTGGATTAACATAAAACTATCTGCTTTAGTAGTATATATATTGCCTATTAAATGACTCATAGATATGAAAACACTGATAGACTCCAATTTCTTCTAAGCAGTCAAAGAAACCCCACAAACTCCTATCACACAAAATGTAAAATACAGTGGTTTTTATATATGATCTGCCTCCCATAGTAGAATTCTGGAGAAAGATATTTTCCCTTGAGACTGGAATATTCGGGTGTTTTTAAGGTCCAGTGTATGCAGTTTTGTTCAATAGCATCAAACCAGTTTGATTTTTTATGAGCTGTTGCAGAATATATAGGTCAAGTAAAAGTAAACAGTTCCAGATTTTCTCATTTAGCGTTTCAAAAGCACACTTTTCAAAAATTCATTACCAAGTGAGGCTGTATTTCTGAATGTAATTTTTTTCTGCGCATAGGCAAAGAAGTGGAGAAATCAGTAGATAGTAAATGATTAAGTTTCAAATTTACTAAGGAATCTGTAGAAAATAAAACTAATAAAAAGTTTACAGTGAAAGCTTTTTTTTGAAGTGCATGTATGTGCACTGCTAAGCACTAATCTGTGATTTATAATGAGAATCACAGAAAATCAGAGATCCTTCCTTGTACTACTGCCAGCAGAACTGCTGAGAAACAGTATAGACTTTGACTCAATTCTACTGTGATTTTTGAACATTATATAACTATCTCCTTACCTGCTCAGAAGAGTTTCTGATTAATTGATACAGAAAAGCATGGTTAAATGCTCAGCCTTACATTTGCAAAGGCATTTAGGATCATTAAGCAATAACAATGTTGTAGAAATCATTTGCAGGAAGCTGTCCATGTGGACAAGTTTGACCATTGTTCATGGAGTGTGTGAAATGAATGATTGTGTTTGATTATTTCTACTAAACATTTTAAAGTAATGTATCATTTTGGGTTCTTCCAGAGGATCCTGCTCACTGGATTTCTGTCTTAAAAATCTCTGTCCCCTTCCATGACTCCTGCCAGTCCTTTTTGGAAAATAATTGTAGAGGCATTTATTAGTGACAATCACCAAAGTGATATGATCTCTAATCAGAGGAAGTTCAGCAGAAATCAAAAAAGAAACATAATAAGCTTTTTCTTTTTTCAAGGGACCAATAATTTGGGTAAGGGGCTGGAACTTGTCCCACTCAAAAGAATGTGGAAACACTGCTTTCTCTACTTCTTTCTAATCATTAAATAATTTCAACAGACTGAAAATATATGGTAAAACAAATAATCCTGTGTCTTCATGATTAATTTAATTGAGGCTAAAATCACCACGTGTTGCTTCTGAAATTCACACATGGGACATTCACCCCTCCAGTCTTTTGTCTTTATTCTTTCCCATGATTCTTATTGTTGCTTAATGTTTTAAACTCCACTGTTACTTCAGTTCATTTTCCAAGATGGACTTAAATTAGTAAACATCTGGCATTCAACTTTCTGCCTTCTCATTAATAATGATTTTAACCCTTACCTTTTATTTAAAAAATTGAAGAAACAGACACCCTTGGAGTTAGGTCAAGTAACCTTAGCTTAGGTGTAAGTGATTTATTCTTAATATATTCCGTCCATATTATGTTCTGTGAGTTTTTGTACACACGTTCTCCTCTATATTAGTTGGATTCTATCATATTCTTTTTAAAAACTCTCAAGTCAATTTACTGACTTTAAAATGATGGCAATTACTATTAGGACATTTCAGTGGGCTCGTCTAGGTCCTATTACTTTTTAATGTTTTAGATTAAACTTACCCAAGGTGTCCAACTATGGCATCTTAAAATCACCTAGAGCATTTTTCCGAGTGCTGCATCCCTGTGTCTTTGGATGTTAAAACTTAATGGTAAGTAATGAGAGAGTAGAAAGTTTGCTTAATTAACATTATGCATTTTTTCATTGGACACACTTGAATGTAATTTGACAGCAAATTGCAGTGCATAAATAAAATATAGTAAGATATGAGAATTATTGTATACAGGGCAGAAAGATAATAGAATATACATTAAATCAATAATTAAAGTATGAATCTCCCCTTATTTTTCATGTTGGAATATGTATATATGTCAATCAATAAACCTCAGATGTCAGACTTTTTTTCCCTTTTTCTCCAAAATAAAAAATGCTGGAAACCTATTCATAGCCTTGTATATGTAAAATTATTGACTACTGAATTTTAAAAATGGAATAATGATCACCTTGATTATTCTGAATGAAACATAACTAGAAAATTTGCTCTAAGAATTTGATACCAGCAAGGATCATAGTACTTCCTGGGATTTTAGTTTAATCTATCATGGACAGGGAGACAAAAAGATAAAGTCAGATTCACATTAGCTCCAAATACCTAAGCCTTGCCTCAGACACTCTTAGTTCTATAGCCAGATTTTGAGGCCTTCACACAGAGGAGCTCCCATAACATTTACTATTAAAAATGTGTTGTGTAAAAATAAACTTTAGTTGAGTACTTGCAGAATTCGTTCCTCTGTGTCCAACAATTTTGGTCACACCTTTCTCCTTTCTTGCATTTTCAAATAATAGCTAGAAAGGTTTTGCTTTCAAACAGTGCCGTTATACAATCCTTTGTAAAAGCTTTTGTGTCAAGTCCCAAAAACTAATTAAAGATGACTTTCATTAGTTGGGATAAGTAGCATAAAAGAATCATGCATTAGAATCAGAAAAATTAATTATATCTTAATAATTTAATCTTCCTGTTTCTCTCACTACTGTTTCTCACAGGAACACAGTTAGGAAAACTAAACTGCCAATATATTCCCCTAATACTGATTTTAGGCCAATAGTGAATTAAAATATGCTGCACTAATAGGCCATGCACAAAATAGACAGACAGTAGTTAAATGCAGATAACTTTGCCCTCAATATAATCCTTAAAAAGGGGATGAATTAATTTGTTGTTGTCCTCTGGAGATGACTGCAAGATCAAATTTAAAAGTTTTTTTTTCTCTTCTGTGTCATGCCTTGCACACCACTATCAGTTTATCCTGCAAACTAGTGCTGGGAATAATGAGATGAAAATTGATCAAGTGGCAAGGCACCATGCAAGATAGTTGGATTCTACTTTACCTCTAATAAGAATTAAAAATATTCCTATCTTACACAGGGCGTCTGGTTCACTCAGAGTTGTCTAATGTTTTGTAAGAGACACCTTTTGTGACATTTAAGAGATGGTTTTCTAATAGGTCAAAGTATATATTTTGTAAAAGCCTGGAGCCAGAGAACACATCAGAAATTTTGACCTTAACTTGTTGGTTATCTGAGCAGGTTGAGAGTGACAAAATCACCATGACTCTGTTCATCTATTTTTAGCCAGAAATCAAATATTAAACAAAACCTCATCAAAAGGTAGAAGATGCAGCAGAGTATAAAAACCCGTCTCCCTTCCTAAGCTGTTTTAATGATGTCACATTCTAGTTACTCTCAGCGCCCTTTTTTAATATAATAGAAATTATTTTTTTTTCATATTTTGTGTTATTTCATTGTTTGGACATGTATATTGACAGAAACTTTTTTGCTTTGTCTTACCACTAGATGTTGAAAATACGACTTTTTAACATACATGTTCATACAAAAATAAGTATGGGTATAATAAAATTCAAAAAATTTCCAAAAGTTAAGCTTCCCGTTTTAAATATACATGTGATCTTCTCTTTTTAAATATACATTATATATATATATATATAATTTTAAAAATATGGAAGTCAACAGGGAAGAAAGCCAATAATGAAAGGTAATTGCTATGGAGACAGGACAGAATACAAACAAAAGGTAGCTGGGTATGGCTCTTAAAGTGAAAGAATAATTTGCTTTAGTTTTTAGTGGTGATGATTATATTTGATATTGGAAAGAGAAAAGGCTATAATAGGAACCACGATATGAAGGATAAAAATATTGCTATCATGAGAGATAGAAAAATCCATTGAGTTTAATATGGTAATTTAGGATACAGGAGCCTCCTTTTCTCCAGGCTAAACTACCCCAGCTCTCTCAGCCACTCCTGTGTCTTACACTGTGGACCCTTACCCAGCTCCACTGCCCTTCTCTGGACTCACTGCAGCACCTCAATGTCTTTATTGCAGTGAGGGGCCCAGAACTGGACATGGGATTTGAGGTGCAGCCTCCCCATGGAGGAGTTCAGGGGGACAATCCTTGCCCTGTTCCTGCTGGCCACACTATTGCTGACACAGGCCGGGTGCCATTGGCCTTCTTGGCCACCTGGGCACTGCTGGCTCATGTTCAGCTGCTGTCACCAGCACCCCCAGGTCCTTCTCTGCTGTGCTTATGATTATGTTTGCTTTATGATTATGCCATGCCATGGCTTCAGGAACCCACAGATGGGGTCCAAGCGCAGCTGTCTCAGCCTACACAGGATTATGAGAGTAAATATATTACCCTATAAATCTCATCTGAAAACCCATATAAAGCTGGTAGCACTAGAAAGCATTTGCGCAGTGCTGAGTTAATGAAAGACATGGCAACTTTACACTGTGGTTGTTGTGAAGGCAGCTGAGGATATTTGCTTACGTGAAGCTCAGTCATGTCTAATGTCAGGCAAAAGCAGTGAGTGCTCAGAGTGCCAGAGGGGGATGTTGAAGGTTTCAGTAGGTGCCCTCCTGTGTGCCCTAGGCTCCTGCAAGGCTTGTTTCAGCTCTGGTTGCCTTTACACTGCTTTCAGATCCAAGCTGCTACTTAATTAATTCTAATTTCACATGGGTCTGGCCTAGGACTAGGCACAACAACCCACATGGGTCTGGCCTAGGACTAGGCACAACAACCCACAATTTGTTCAAGCTTTTCATTTTCATAGATACTGCAGGTAGAAGTTTCACTGTTTTTTGAAATGGAAGTTGAGCAACAGTCCTCCATACCCAGGAGATACTAGATACCAGAACTCATTTTTGACATGCTTTGGACT